GTCATTCCATTATGGCTACTCTTCCATTGGCTTTTCATTTCGTCCGTGATTTTAACATAATAATCATCCTTAAAAGCTTGGCTGACGTATTTCTCATACAACACACCTGGAATTTAGTGAAAAAAAATTGATTTAAAATAAACGGTGCGAATTTTAGCAGTGAAACATCCGAAATTGGATCTACTTTGTTGTAATTCGCTCCTTAATTGGTCGACAAAACTCGCGCGTTTTTCTCTACCAATCGGAGAGAAAGCTGAGACCATAGACGAGACGCGTCGGAGAATGAAGAGGTTTTACAACTGCTGTTCGCAGAGTGCTGCTCACTAGTTCAATTTTCAGAAAATTGATTTTAAAAAGTTGTTGAAAAAATTGTCTGAAAAAATTGTTTAAGAAAAACTTTCTAAAAATTAATTTAAAAAATTAGAAAAAATTAATTAAAAAACTTAATTAAAATTACGTACACAAATATCTAAAAAATGTTTGAAAAATTAAAAAAATTGTTAAAAAAAATTAAAAAATTATCGAAAATAAAAAATAAATTTTTAAAAAAAAAAAAAGCAAAAAATGAATTTAAAAAATTAATTATTAAAAAAATTTTAAAAATAATTTTAAATTTAAATTTTTAAATAATAGAAAATAATAACAATAAAAAATCAAAAAAATTTATAAGTTAATTTTAAAAATAAGTTATTCCATTGTGGTTACTCTTTTCAATGGCTTCTCATTTCGTCCGATTAATCCTTAATAGCTTGGCTGTCGTATTTCTTATACAACATACCTGGAAATTTCAGAAAAAAATTATTTAAAAAAGGTACGAATTTTACCGACGAAACATCCGAAAATTTATCTTTTTTATTTCAATTCGCTCCTTAATTAGTCGACAAAACTCGTGCGTTTCTCTCTGCCAATCAGAGAGAAAGCTAAGACCAATCGCTTCTTCATGGTTAGCTTCAGCAGCTTTTTTTGTTTAGATAGTTTCTGTTAGGAGACAAAGAGATAAACATTGCAGCCGAGTTTTTTGACTAATTACTTGACTGCAAATCATGTGGCTTGTTATAGTTTCAACTGTGTTGGTTAAGGGGAAACTAGAACTCATTTGTACGTGCGTCTTACAAAATTATGTTCCATTCTGCCTTGGAATGAGAGGCAAGTGTTATAATCCTGCTTTTGACTAGTTAGTTAATCGCCTGGCTATCATGTCAATTTCAGCACGAAACATTAGGAAACTGCTGCCGTTTCACGTAAACAATACTCTTGATCGGCGGAAACAAGTATCAAATTGAATTTCTTCTTGCTATAGTGGTGGAAACAAATCTAAGTTCAGCTTCACTTAGGTCCGTTAAGTCACTTTGACAGAAGTGCAATCTTTGGCAGAATGAAAGGAAACAGAAAGTACAAGCAATAAAATCAAGGCGCTTGAAGATACTTTTAGTTTGTAAGAAAGAACATTCCCATACCCCATCACAAATCAAAATATAAAAACAAACCTCTTTCGTTTTTCAAAGCGATCTCCGGGAACTTATTTCTGAGTGCATTCCTTCCCGCTTCACAAGCATCTTGACTGTAAACCATGCCGTGTAACTTTCCCATTTTCAGATTTTCCATGTATCTCAAAATTCCTTTCTTGTGAGTTTTTAGCTTCTCCTCTATAAGATCTATATCCTGCAAGTTTTCTGGTTTTAGACTTCTCAGCAATCCTTGCAAATGCGCACCCAAGTTACAGATGACTTGTTGCCTCGGATGGCAGTAGAATGTTGGACCCATCATCCAATCTCCGGCGTAGAAATTCATGTCAAAAGGCTGACCGAACACAGTCTTCAAATAATGCTTGAGCTGTGATAATGCTTTCCTTTCGCGCCGCTTGAGCTTTTT